ACTGAACCCCCACACCAATAGCGCACACCCGCCGGCGCCAGCTCCTGGGTCCTTGTCCCAAATTCGGGGCCCTCCCCCGACGTCCACAGTGCACCGTAAGCAGACCCGACGCGCCCGACGCGTCCTCAGGCTGACCCAGCAGCAGGACGCTCGCGCCCGGAGGGAAAGTCCCAGGAGTGTGCAGTGTAGGGCCTTGGCCCCGCCCAGGGCACTCTCCAGCGCGGGGTCCTAACCGGTGCCCTCCCCGCAACAACCAGCGCGGCACCCACAGTGCGCCATCCCCTGCAGGCCGCCAGGCACACCCGCGGCTCGGCCTCTACGACGCAGGTCCGAACGCAGCCCTTTTCCGCCCAATCCCACTCCACTTCCCCCCACCCCCGGCCCCCGCCACGTGTCCGGTTTCTGCGGACACCGGCTCAACACCCGCGTCCTTGGCCTCCAAACACATTCACACGTCTACTCGGTGCACCCCTCGCGTGCCCATACACAGGACCCCTACCATCAACGCCGCACACATCATCCACGTACACCACTCTTAGGGGTGCGCACACACTCCGTGGGCTTTGCGCTCCGCAAACACTCTGGGCACAGCCAGGACACCCGCTCACTAGCGGGCGCAGGGCAGACTGGCAGGAAGGGTCCAGGCAGCCTCACACCTCGCTTGCAAAGCCCACCTTGGCTCCTAATCCGCCGCACCGCACCGTCAGAGACTGCCATCGCTCCGACTGGGCCTGGGAAGTTGCTTTCTACGTGCTGCTCCCACGGGACAGGTTTCCTAGGTGACCTGCAAGGCAGATTCCTCAGGTCTCCCCTAAAAACACTCTAGAACTTGAGGACCCCACAACTCCAATTTCTCAGGTGGACCTCACCCCATCTCATCCAGGACTTACAGGAAGGACAGGGAGATGGCCCCTGCTCCCCACCTCCCTGCGGGTGGGGTGAGGGGCAGGGAGGCAGGAGGGTGGCAGAATAACACTACACTCTGGGGAAACTTGTCTGCCCTGATCTTTGGGGACCATGGACCTTTCCTCATCCCTTCTGAGCCGGTTTTCTGCTGGTCAGGCCACGGAAGCATCCCCATGAATATCTTGTATTATTAGGTAATAAAGAAAGGAAAGGGCAGTTGTATTTGCTGAGGTCCTCTGTGTCTAGAACAGTGCCTGGCACACAGTGGAGGATCTTTACAAATTTGCTGGCGACCCTCCTCAGGGTTCCCTCTGGCCTGCGGGATTGGAAAGCCGGCAGGCACTTCCACCTGGTGGTACGAGACGAGATCCTTCTCTTTTCTTTTTATTTATTGATAGAGAGAGAGAGAGAGAGAGAGAGAGAGAGAGAGATTGATTTGCTGCCCACTGGTTGCTTCTTGCATGTGCCCTGACATGATGGACTGCTCCAACCACCTGACCGAGACCCTTTTCTTCCCTAGGGTAATCGAGGGCAAGTTCACCTTCTAAGCTGCAACCCCGCACGTGCAAATGAGAGATGGTTTTAGGAGAACATGCCTGTAGGGCTGTTGTGAAGATGAAACATAATACAGGTGAAGTGCTTCCCATGGAATCTGGGGTGTGAAAAGCCTTCGGTGAGTTGATGAACATTACACTTATGGTTATGTTCCCTTTGCTGGCCTATTTCACAGAGGGGCTTTGTGATGACCAGCTTAGCTTTGGGGGATGATACTTTGGGAAGCAAAGAGTGAAAAGAGAGGAGGACATTGAGTGGCAGGTGTAATTCCTCCCAAGTTCACTGACCCGTGGATCACCATCATCATTGTCACTGATGCAGTGTTCTCCGTGTCGCACAGCTGAACCATTTTCTCTTCGTTAAAGTATCTAAAGCTCCCAGCACTGCTCCAGGCCACATACTTTATTCACCCCACGATGCAGATGGAGACACTGGGGCCAAGAGGGATTACTTACTGGCCCACAATCATACAGTTGGCAGAGCTAGGACCCAACCGAAGCTGTGTCTCTCAGCCACTGGCTAAACTAGAGTCAAGGTCAGACATAGTCACAGATGAGCCTCAGGTCCCTGGAGGTTCGTTCAGTCTCCAGCCTTGGAAAGCACAGCCTCAGAGGTGCCGGGCGCTAGGTCAGGCTCTCAAACGCTCATCCGCCTCAGGGGAATGAAAGGCAGAGGTGCCCTGGTTATTTCCTCACCAAAAAAATGGAGTGAGCGCTGCCCATGGCTCCCCACTGACACATGGATTTAGGTGTTAGTCTGACTCTGTTGAGTCTGTCTCCCCAGCTAACCTGCAGCTCAGCGCTGTCCCTTAGAACTGCCCGCAGCGAGGGAGGCGCTCCATGTCTGCGCTATCCGTTGTGGCAGACCCTGGCTGCACGTCACCATTGAGCACTTTATTATTCTTTTTAATTTTTAATACATTTTTATTGATTTTAGAGAGGAAGGGAGAGAGAGATAGAAACATCAGTGATGACAGAGAATCATTAATAGCCTGCCTCCTGCATGCCCCACACTGGGGATCAAGCCCATAATCTGGGCATGTGCCCTGACTGGGAATTGAAATGTGACCTCCTGGTTCATAGGTCATGCTCAACCACTGAGCCACACCGGCCGGGCTTGAGGAATTTATATGTGACTAGCAAGACTGCAGAACTGAACTTTTAGTTTTGTTTACTTTTAATTAATTTGCATTTAAATAGCCTCATGTGGTGAGTGGCCGGCCGCTGTGTGGAGATCCATGTCTGCTGGCCATCCTTGTACCCATGACCGGCACAGGCCGGCTCAGCAGATTTTTGTTGACTAAATGAATAATTAAATGACAGCTTTGCTTTCCTCTTTAAAGTCTGTCTATTTAGTATCCAAACCCCAAAAAAGAATCCTATTTTCTTTGCTAAGTAGGTCATCTCCAAAATGAATGTGCCACTTGGGATTCCAGAGTTGCTAAAGTCCATTTTCATGGATCGTCTTGTTTTAACCACAAACCTTCACAGGTGGGAGCCCATCTCTGGCCCTGACAAGCTGCGCTGTGAGCTCATTACTTCTCCAAGGCCTCCCAGCTGGTCAACAGCAGAGGCTGGGCTCAAGCCTCACAGGGAACATTTCTGGAAACATCAGCTTAATTCCACGGAAGAGTGAATGGGATGGTAGGGATTCAGGCATGGATAGGACAGGGTGATATTTCCTGTTCTCTCCAATTGCCTGAGGCAGGCGGCTGGCTATGGATCCACCCTGATGGTGTCACTGACACTTTCCTTGGGTACAGGCTCAATCCCAGCAGGGCAGATGGACGGAGGTGGGTCCTGGGCTCAGCGGGCCCAGATCAGGGGCAGGCTGCTTCACTGGAGCTTGAGATGGGGTAGCACAGGCTTTGAGGAGGCCTCCTGGTTAATGCAGCCCTGGCCGCCCTTGCTTGGCAAGGCTGAGAGGGGCTTGGGCTCCCCAGCCCTGACTTTCGCTCTGCAGAGAAAATGGGGGACACTTCAGGACAGTGGCATCTCTGGACACATCCTTGGAGTGAGCGCTAGGAGTAAGCACATGTAGGACAACAGGATTGCTGCCACTCTGTTATTTTATGCTTGTGTCAGATGCCACTAACCAATCGCCATACTCCTTCCTGGGTGAATGCCTTGGTCTGGAACGTATGCTGTCCATTATGCTAGAAGACTCAGTCCCTCCTGCAAAGTGCTCTGTCATATCCAGGGCTCTCAGCAGGTGCCTGACAGGTGTCCACAGACTAGCGTGTCAGCTGCAACCACCAGGTGGCAGCTGCCTGCTCTCCTTCCCTCTACCTGCCTCTGCAGGCCCTGGTCTGTGTCCTGGAACTGTGCGCAGTGGCCTCGTCGTGCCCCTGTGGTCTCCTGTGATGCTCCCAAAGCCAGCCGTCAGTTAGGAAACATCCAGGTAACAGGACCAAAAATGGTCTAAACAGTAGGGAGCTGTGTTAGCACATGAGGGGACCAACGTTTTCCTGCCCCAAAATAAGCCTTTGGGATATTGATTTCAAGCTGGGAAATAAGGAATAAGAAGACTTAGGAAAAGCCTCTGGCCCTTTACCTGCCTGAAGGAGCTTCACTAGAGGACCTGTAGGCTTTAAGCTACAAGTTAACAGGAGCCAGTGGGCAGGAGGAGCCTTACCAGGCCGCGTGCTCCGTCCTGCCCGTGGGCACAGCTAGA